TCCAGTGTGTGTGGAGTGTATATCAATGCTGAAACTCTGTCACCACACAGAAATGGACTCTTCTTCCACAAGGAGGTAGTGGTAATGATCAATCAATCCACCAGACAAGCTTCCATATATGAGCAGATCCCAATAAAGAGTCCCTATTATGTCCCTGCATTCATCATATAGATTTAAACTGTTAGTCCTCAACCCCAAGAGAAGCTAAACTTCAATGTGTTGAAGAGTCTTGGGGCACCTTAGAGAATAACATGGTTATTGTATAAACGATAGTCCACTTCGTCAGATGCATTAAATACTATCCTGAATAGCAGAGGTGTGTGTGTGTGTGTGTGTGTGTGTGTGTGTGTGTGTGTGAATACTGGAATCTGCCTTTATACTGTGCCAGACCATAGGTCAATCTAACTCAGTACACTAACTGGCAACAGTTTTTGTCCTCCAGTCCTGCCCAGAGACACTGCGGATGGAGACTGGGTCTGTCTGTCTGGAAAGCAGATGTTCTACCAAAGAGCCACAGCCCTACATGATTTGCAGGGGAGCTTTCAGAATGAAAAGTACAAAGAATTATGATAGCCTTATTAACGCTTAACCAAGCTTCTTCTTCGTCTTTCTTTTCTCTTCTTTTTTTATGCAAGAAACTAACAAGACTACCCCTCTGGAAATGTAAACCTAAGCATGTGTAACTGCATTTGATCAGATCAATCAATGCTTTCTATGCTTTTGTCATCTTCCCTGCAACTAAAATTTAGTTTGCAAAGTCTTTAGGCAGGGACTTAACTTTTACTTGAATGTAAAGTACACTATTGACACTATATAGGCAATATTGATGCTACACTAGTCTTAGACAAACGCTTAACCAAGCTCTGATTTGCTGTGTATTTTTACTGGGTATTTCCTGCACTGAATTTAAAGCGGTATCTTTTTAGGTTCTTTACCCTGAAGTAATCACAGTCATTTCAAAAGAAACAGTAAATGGCTTGAGGGCAGCAGCCAACTTCTCTCTCTCTCTCTCTCTCTCTCTCTCTCTCTCTCTTTCTTTGGTTGCAAAATAGCTGAAATTATATATGCTGCGTTTCTTTTCCTCCTTTTTTTTTTTTGCAACGATTGGCAGAAAAAAGCAACAGAAATGGTGAGAAGAGCATCCCTTCACTTCTTTATTTGCACACAAGTTGACAGATGTGCATTGATTATTCTGTCATTAGCTCCTGAAACAACAACACACAGATTTTTAATTCATGCAAATACATACTCGGTTTAGCTTTTCTTCAGCAACCACATATGATTGGGGGGGGGGAGAGACATCCTTCCCCTCCCCCAGTTACAATGCATAACATCTGATTTCAGAGAAAGGATAGTTTCAGTTTACTCTCTGTAGAAATATGCATCAAGGAAGTAAGCATCCGTGGGCAGGGCAGAGGAACACTAAAAAGCAAATATCCACACTAATAACTTTTCTTCATAATTTAGCAAACAAACAAGAAGGGGGAAATGTGATATTAAGCAGAAGGCATGAAAAGATACACAGGTTTTGTTCACGACGGCTTACCTGATACCGGTGAATAATCACACAAGTTCAAATGATGTGAGAAAGTGTGTTCTCCATCATGGAGAGCACGTGTTGCAGTGGGTGGGGGGCAACCAAGACATCCCTCTGTTGCTGGGCAGGGTGGTATAGATGGCCACGAATCTGATTGGGTACCCCTCAGAAATTGGGGAGAATTTGGTGTAGCAATTTTATGAGTGACTGTTGAGGGGCTATTTATTCCCTGCGCGCAGTGTTGGGCTTCCTCTTTTCGCTGCGCGCATTGTATCACCCACCCACCCTCCCTATATTTAGGGTTGTTTGCATTGACCTTGCTATGCCTGTCATGGGGTTGTCTGCTTTTGGGGCAGAGGCCTGGTAGGAATTTTGTCCATTTGGCTGATTGGCCGGTGCCATTTGGCTTTTGCCTACTGCGTAGCAAATCGTCACAACTTGTAAGGTTGTGGTTAGGCATTGGTTAATTTGGTTGGTGCAGGGGGTATGGTTGGCTGTGCCGCCCCCCCCCCCAATGCTGCTGCTGCAAGGGTATTCCATTAAAGGAATCCAGAGGCTCGTCATGCTCTTGTCCAAACCCTTGTCAAGGGGCTTGGGCCACGCAAGAGCCCCTGGGAGCATTTGGGGAGAGGTGAGAGCCTGGCGCCCAGCTCTACACTCTCCCCCCAAATGTTTTCCCTTACTGACTTTCGCAGGTTTGCGGGTGTCAGTTCTGTTCCTACCTCTAAGTGGGAACAGATAGTCATGAACCAATGCCTAAGCAACCACTCACATGCTGTAATCAATAAAGTTGTGCCCAAAATTTATGCCAAAAACCTTAAACAAAAATTCTGTGTGAACTGTGTCTTTATTTGAAGGTGGCTGTGGGGTCCTCAACACGAAACAAGTTTAAATGTTCCACTGGTAAACAATGACAGGCCAGAGGCACAGCGTGCAGAAGGTCTCAGGTTCAATCCTCAACTATAGGAAGGCTGTGACACCCATAATTTATACAGTCATACCTCGGGTTACAGATGCTTCAGGTTGCGTTTATTTGGGTTACGGACCGCCAAAACCCGGAAGTACCGGAACAGGTTACTTCTGGGTTTCGGTGGTCGCGCATGCGCAGAAGCACAGAATCGGGCTTTGAGCATGTGCAGAAGCGCTGAATTGCAACCCGCGAGTGCACAGACATGGGTTGCAAAAGCTGCGGGTTGTGAACGTACATCCCATACGGATCACGCTCGCAACCCAAGCGTCCACTGTACTATGTTCACCAAATTGTTTACATGTTTTGTAAGTAATTGTGTCCCCCAAATATATATATATATATATATATATATATATATGTATTTTGATAATAGGTTAAATGTTTATTGTCAGATGCCTTGGACAGAGTTTGCTGTTCACAAGCAGCATATAAATAAATAAACTGGACATTTTAAAACAGAGTGGTAGAAGACAGAGGCTGCATTTGAATGTGACGTTTATTACATTAGTTTTACCAGTTATAATGCAAGTGCTTCTGTCTTGATTTCTTTTTGCTCTGCAGTGCCTATTGTGTTATGGAACCATGGCTTTTCAATCAATGAACTGCTATGTCACACTAAATTGTGTGTGTGTGTGTGTCGGGGGTGGGGAAAGGACTGGGTACCAGGTTAGCAACCAAAATTTTGATACATGGGTGGTTAGGGAAACCATTTCAAAAAGTAAAATTCCTGACACCTGCATATTTGTTGACCTTTTGCGGGGGGACGGACCCAAATTACTCCCCCCCCCATAGTGTTTTTTAAGTTTTCCCATCATCTGGGTTTTCCCTGACATTTTGCCAATTCCCCCCATCACCACTTTTACACCAGAAAACCAGGACATGTCAGGAATTTTCCTGACATATAGCAAGCTGAAACATCATGAAAATTTCCAAGTTAATGGGGTTAAAACGTCTGTGTTTTTTCCTGAAAACATTTAACAAGAATTGAGAGTTAAACTGCTGTTAGATTCCACTGGATTTCCAGAAGGAGTTTTTGCACCATGTGAGAGATCAGATGAAACACACCAATCAACAATTAAGGAAATACTGGAAAGACAGAATGATGCGCCATCAGAATGCAGACAGAGTGAAGGCCAACTGGAACTCCTAAGGAATGGAGTTTAAATGTGGCCTGAGAGAAAACTCTCTGCTGTATTCGAGGCAATTCTGCTTCAGTCATACCACAGCATGCATGTTAGAGAGGGTGGAGAAATAGGTTTGGTCCACTTTTTGGAGAAGACCAACCAGATCCTCTCAGACTTATCTGTGGATTGAAATGCAACTCCCAGTCACATTGCACATATGGATGAGTGACTATGCATCTACACCAGTTTGTGATTTAAAGTAAGAAGAAGAAAAAACCCAGGGATACATTTTTTGCATGCATTTTTGCCTACTATACACATTTTTTTGCCAAGCAATTTCCCCTGATTTAATGCATTTTTATCTGGTTTTCATTATATATGCATTGGTATGAACAGTTTAGCCCTTCATATGCATTTATGAACACATTACTGAGCAAAAGAGCTGCAGTGCAAAGTGTGGATACGTGCAAATTTTGAAAGAAGGCTGTGTTTCAGTTCACATATTGTTTTGGAAAATTATTGCTTGCCCTTAAATGCAGGCTGAACTGAATTTCCCCCAAATCCCTAATTACACACTTATCCAGAGTTCGTGATGCACTGCCAAACAAACTCTCCTTTTTCATGTGTTTCAAGTCTTTTCAATATTAAATGAGCATTTGTGGGTGGAGTTTTTTTGCACACCAATACTGCACACAAAAAAATGTGCATTTTATAAGGAAATGCATTGAAGTGCATGTATAAAACAGTGGATTTTGGATTAAAAAGTGTTCATAAAATGCATACAACTTAAACATGGGTCTTTCATGCACTCTTTTACAATATCTGCATAAAATGGGATTGAAAAGACCTATGATTGAGTGCCAGCAAGGCTGAAACTGGAAACAGTTTTCTCACTCCCTAATTACTGCTACATCAAGTGATGGACCATCACAGATGACACATCCTAGTCACAGCTTCCTTATTATCAATAATATTCACATTAACCCTGACACACATCACTTTCCGGTGGAGACAAGCTGCAAGCCATGCAATAGTTAAGTAATACCTAGTGAGATACATGCATTTGATAATGAGCTGCTGGATGTACAGCTGAACCCAAAACAATACTGTTCAGTGCTTAACTAGCATTGAAACAGGATGTTACACATTCACATACTGATATCTTGTAGATATCAGTACCTTTTGGATTTAAAACAAACGTTTTGGCTTGTTTTAAAATCAGGTTTTCCATATTCGCCATTTCAAATTCAAAATATTGAAAAAGGGTTAGCAACTCCATTATACTTACACAGAGACAATGTGGTACATTAACAACAAAAGGGTTTTAAGCAAAAGAAAGAAATCCCCTGTGGCTTTTATACATATTTACCTGTTCATTTGTAATGGATCCAAAGGTCCTTTTCGGAGCTGTTTTAGGCTGTCATGTAAACACAAAAATGAGAAATTTTCTTTAAATGCTTTTCAATGCATTAGATAGACAGATAGATAGATAGATGATAGATAGATGATAGATAGATTCACAGTCAAACACTTAACCTTGACAATCAAAATCACTCTTCCATCACTCCTATATAGCTTTGCTGAGGCAGAAGCCTGGGCTTGCAATACCTTCCTGTAGGATATAGCACTTCAATTTAATGAGCATTTGCACCTGTGGTGGTAGAGCAATACTCAACACCCTGAAAAAGAAGAAAGAAACTCAAGCAGAAATACATGCAGGGTTGAATTCAGATGCCCATTCTTGTGTACAATGGAATCACTGTTTTGGGGTCGGGACAATGAGTCTGGACATTTCTTCTTAGTTATCTCACACATAAATCCCTGACTGCTGGAGTTGGGCTGAAATTTCTCAGACTTTCTGATAAATTTGTCTTCTATTTTTTCTGTGAATGACTTCAATAATTTACTCCCTCTCACCACGCCAAAAAAGATGGGCATTCAACTGAATATTCATCAAATACTCTTCACAATTGGCTGTTGTTCCTGCCATCCCCATATCAGTGTTCCAGAACTACACTAAAACCAGGGCACTGTGGGAAGACCCAAAATGGTCACCTGGCTGCCACCAACACAGATATGTTGTTACCACCATTGCTAATTGTAGCAGCAGTATTGCGGAGGGGGGGGGCTGCTAATGGTGATCACTCTGCCCCAAGAAACTGCCAGATAATTTTACTCCCAAAGTGAGTATCTGGTGAAATGGTTTCCTAGATTTTGCCACCGATGGAGAGAATGTAAACATTTTTTTTTATTTTTTTTGTGGGGGAGTGAGGGCATTTAGATCCAGACCTTATTTGTTTATTTCATGCATTCATTCAGTAATAATACCCAATGAAAATAATACATCCTATGAATAACCCAATTCTACCTGCCAATAAAGTATAAACATGCCAAAACACAGTGCGAGTTCAGTGCTAGTTCTGTATTATTTTATTGCTGTAGTTTGGAATTGTGTGTGCTTTCTTTTAAATGACTGTAAATTGCCTTGAGACATATGTGGAGGATGATTCATAAATAATAATAAATAAACAAACAAACAATAAACCAGCATAGAAAGTGGAGTACATAATTATAAACGATAATGCAGATAATAAAACACCCACAAGATGCAACAATAATTAAAAGGTGCAAAAATAAAACAATTTGGGAAGGTTTGGGAGGAAAGAAAGGTTTTCAGCTAACCTTGAAAACATAGCAATGTTGGGGCGTGTTTCACTTCAAAGGGAAAAGGATTTGATAGAACTGATGCCACAACTCTAAACTCACATTGTGAAATCAAAGTAAGCTTTACCCCAAGAGTGAGTGGCACAATTAACATCAACCTTACAACTTGCCTCCCCTGCCCCATACAGTTTTACATACAAAGTTTTCTGAGTATAATAACATACCTACTACTCATTTTAAAGTAGGATGGAGCTGGCCATACATAAACATGGTGGGAGGACATGTTCCGTGTTGACTCATGAGATGTTCATTTAAAGTGGTTGGTTACATCAAGGACCGGTTGGGGATTTAAGCTGCCAACTGTTACATCAATAGACTGTGATGAGTCTATCAGGATGTGACTGTCCCAGTGAAATAACTGAAACAAGCCCAGTTTTCAATATATACAATTGCTTATTCAGTATTTAGCATGAAAAAGCACATGAAATATCAACAGCAATGTGTCATGTGTAGAAATGTTCCTTAAAGAGCAGAACTGATATGAAATGCCAGCATCTGTATCCTGCAATGCATCCCACAAGTACAGAATTCTCAGAGTTTCATGGAATTAAGCATTAATACCTTAAGATGATATACCTTGGGACACAACATAAAATATAGAGGTGATTTTTTAGTATGATTGCCACTTTTGTCAATTTTTTCAACTAGCCAGTAGACTGCACCAAACACATTTAAAATTTTCGAACACATGGTAACTAAAACCTAATGCAGGAAGAGTTTGTTGGCCTTTGGCCAAGTGATTTCAATCAGTTTAAGCACCTTATACTCTCTGCTAGATGGATACCAGTTTCTTTACCTAATGACTCCGTTAAGACTGCAAACTATTGCCCACTCCATTGGGCAAACCCTATTAATCTTTGTCAAATTCTCCTTCCAAGTAAAACACACAGGATCAGGTTTGATGAAGACACATGCATCAAGCAAACACCCTACCTGTGAGTACATGAGCTGTAGCACACACAAATTCTGCACTGCAAGTGAATATTAAGAGTATGCATATTTAGTGATATATGACTGTATCTTGAAGGTTTCATGGCACCTGGTTGTGCTCATATTGCCTTATGTAATTGTGTGAGGCAGGTAGCTGCTATAGTTATTTGTTCTTATTAATTACCCACTAACAGCAATTGAAAAGACAACATTAAAAACTGTTCTAAAAAAATTACAATTACAAAAAATATACATTTTAAAATATATATTTCACAGATCAGAGATCAAGATATAAGAACATTCACAAAGAACTGAAAAATGAAATTGCCAGATGCACTCCTATGAGAGGAAGCTCTTTACCAAAATGGCTGTCACAGAGCAGGTGCTCTCTCACAGGTCATCCCCACCCTGAGCTTCTGAGGTTGATGGAACTATGAAGAAGGTCCCTCCTACAATCATAACACTGTTCTGTAGAGAAGCAGGCAGGTGGTCTTTCAGACATTTGGGTCATGGGCTGTTTAGGGTTTTCAACACTAATGTCAGCTCCTTGAACTAGGATCAAAAACAAACCAGTAAACCAGATGTTAACTGGCAGAATTTCCCTCTCCTGTTCCCCTCCCCACCCCACCCCAAAAAGGAACTGAATTACTTTGCAGCCAATGCATTTCAAGCCTTACATTAGTGCCTCTCAGGTTGAACCCCCTATTCACTTCTTTCAACCGTGGAGGTGTTAAACAACAGCAGCAGAACTACCAAAGCTTGAAACATATTTCAGTCATCACCACTCAGTTCATCTTGCAGGTTTCCCATGAAAAGTACTGCATTTGTTTAACTGTTAATGAGGTTTTGCACATTTTTAAGTGTCAGGGAACTGCCATCAGTGCCGGAGGGAGAGAGCAAGCTCCAAAGGGATCCCAGAGAGCGTCCCGGGAGTGGGAGAGGCAGCCCATCTTCTGGGGAAGGGAATCAGCGTAGCTCCAGTGGAGAAGGGGGGCAGATGGGGGAATCGGTGAGGCGGTCCCATGACTCCTTGCCGGGGACCAGCGGGGAGAGGAAGGGTCCTCCACTGCCTACGCCCTCCTTGCGCAGAAGGCTTCCGTGCAGGGAGAGTAGGAGGAGACTGGGCGTCAAAGAGCTTCTTTGCTGGAAGAAGTTTAAGAAATGCCCACTGACGGATTCTGCCAGCGATTGAGGCAGACACGGGTGAGTGGCTGTCCGGACAGGAAAGGTTCACTCAGGCAACCCAGCCAGGTGTTGGCACAGGCTTACGCACGAGCAACCCCTAGAACCATTACATTAAGGATGAGGAGGCTGGGCAAAGAGCTGGGTTTGGAGTCGAAGGAGTCTTTGAAATGATAAAGCTAAGGGCAGGGTCAGCCCTATCATTAAGTAGAGTGAGGCAGATGCTGGACAGTGTGGAGCAGCACCAAAAAGTTGGAGAACAGAGCTATATGTGCCACATGGCCTGACCAGCACCCTTCCCTTAAGGCAGTAAAGATTCAACTACCACTCTGGTCAGGTTTGAGAAATGCAAGGATGTGCCTTAGACAAAGTCAGACCTTTGGTCCAACTACCTCTGTGTTTTCTCCACTGACTGGCAACTGCTCCCCAGGAATCCTTCTCTAACCTATATAGAGATGTCTTGGGACCTTCTGGATTCCACTGAGCTACGTCCGCTCCTTATGGCTATACATATAATTGGGAGGGGGCACCATACTGGAATAAAGGAAGCTGATTCAGTCCATTGCTCTACACTGACTGACAGTTGTCCAGAGATGTCAGGGATGAGCTATGGACCTTCCCTGTAGCATAAATATGTAGCACACTCTTTGGAGACCAGCACAAGCCATCAGAATACCTGGGAGACCATATCTGAATGAACAAAGAAACGTGTCTTATAGTGAGTCAGGCCAGTGGTCCTCCTAGCTCAGAATTGTCTATGCTGATTGGCAAAGCTTTCAGGAATTCAGAAAGGGAGTCTCTCCCAACCCTATCTGAAGATGCTGGGTATTGAACCTGGGACCTACTGCAGTGCTCTACCACCGCAAAGTGTTGTAGATGTGCAACATGTTGGGCTGCCCCTGCAAGTAAGGATTTTCTGGGTGCCTCGGTTCTCCATATAACATACAGATCTGAAGAGTCCCCCTGCTCACAAGGACAGCTTTTCAGGCTGCAGTGAGGAACGGGAGGTTGGAAAAGTCCTATTCCATGAGCAGCTATCTACTCAAAGTACTCAGAACCCTGTATCATTGTTATTTCTGATAAATATCCAAGCAATTCTTGTCCCCATGTGCTATGTATTTCAGTGGAATACATGTAAGGGCAAAATCCAAGATCAAACAACAACTCCCAGCATAATTCATAGAACACTGGAACCTGCAACCATTATTCCCCACCCCCAATTTTGTTAACAGAAATACACCCTTTACTGCCCCCCACCCCAAATTAAAGGGATGAATGCAAATTGTGTGGTTTTTTATAGTGCTAGCAAACTACTGCCTGGAACAGATAAATGTGAACACATTCAGAACTACAGTAGCGTGAATGTTGCAGCAGTAATAAAGGATGCAGGTCCTCCATCTGCTGTCATATACCCGGTGTGTAATTCAGATTTTCATGCATTCTGAAAGATGAGGCCACATTACACTGCTTTCCCACTTAAAGCAGCACAGAATGATGCTCTTTGCACTGTATCGAGGCAGGCATCTTAATAAATGTACAGCGCTGGAGTTTTAATATTAATATTTAGCGTGCACATTTCAA